GCAGCCAATTCATCCCTGACCCTTTAATATTAAGTTGATAGTTCTGTTATAAACTAAATTTCTTGCACTCAGTTTCCTGGACACTATATATATCTTAAATTTCTCTCTCTTGAAATCACTCTTTTTTCTTTTTCTTTCATGTTAAAAAACCAGAATTTATTTATTGATTACTCCTATAATTTTATTTTTAACCTCTTGATTTTGAATTCTTTTTTATTTTTTTGATGGGAAAATAGCAAACATTAATGGTAGATGGTATGTGCAGACTAAAAAAAAAAATTCTCTCTAAATTCCAGTTTTACTTGAGGTAGGGACATGATATCTTCCTCTTGGAGGGCCCTTTGAAGAATCTTTTATTCCTCCTGGTATTTTATGCCTTCTGAAGACAGTCTGTGTTTGTAATTCCTCCCTTTGCATGTTTGCAGATAACTTATCTGTTCTTGTTTCAAAAGATTACAGGAAATGAGATCCTGTTTTCCAAATAAAGTCTGACAGGTTTTAAATTGAAATGTAATTGAATGCCAGTTCTCATGGATTCTAGATTTTAAAACATACAATTACTAATATAATCCACATATCTAAGAGTTAGATACTTTTTTACTACTCAAAAGGGCACCAAACTATTTTCACTTTGCTGTTAATATGAAAGCTTCTAGTAGGCAGTGATCATCTGTCTTAAGCTTTCAAAGCACTTTATTTGCACTTTCATTATTAGATTAACCAGCCTTGCTTTGCATATGTCTTCCAAGGTTTCATTGTGAGTGTCTAAAACAGTGATTGATGTATTAGTGATACCTAATACTAGAGTCATTACCTGGATTTCATTTCCAGTCTAGTCTCTTATTAGTTAGTTGTATATCCATGGTTAGGTTCTTTTACACTTTTTGAAAATCTTTTTTTTTCCTTTTCATTTTGTAGTTTAGCCATACTTGGTGTTGAAAGTGTTTTGAATGACACAGCAAGGGAGGTAATTTCCAAGAGACAGATTGTGTTCATATTTATGACAGCCTGTCTCTACTGTAGAATTTAAACACCTTTGCTATAAAATGGAAAATAAACATGTTATAGGTCCAGCCTCTCTTTTGTGTTAGACAACTCCATGTTCCCAGCTAAGGGGACCTAGATTAGAAGTCAAGAGACTGACTGCAGCTGCCTGGCTGCTGGTAGAGATCTGGAGGTTTAGTTAGCATTCTCCTTCCTCAGCTTCCTGTGATAGTAAGCATCCTTCAGTTTAACTTTTTGTTTTGTTCACTCTAAGGAATCCTTTAAAGGTGGGAGGATGAAAACGTTCTTTTTTTTTGGAGGGAGCATGTGGATTTTTGAGGGAGGAGAGCATACAAGGGGGAAAAGTTTAATACTGTTTGTATCTGGAGAAACATAAAGATTTTTGTGGTACTCATATTGCCATTATAGGTGCTAAATTGGACTTCATTTTAAAATTTTGGCTTGTTTTAAAACATTATGTTTTAAACAGTATTAAAGTATCTTTAAGATTATTGAATTAG